GGGGGGAGAGATGTAAAAAAAAGTGAGAATATGTGCAAGAACAGCAAAGTACTTTTATATAAAATTAGTTACTACATCAAATTAAAATACCAGTAATTAGCAATTACTTATGAAATTATAAAAGTGTTACTTCCAATCTGAACATATTTTGAAGAAGTTATGACAGAAATGGGGTTAGAAGACTAAAGAGACGGCAGTCTTCAGATAACATTAGAAGCTTTGTGAGGAATTAGGTCTACTCAGGGTGCACAGAGAGGATCCAGGAGAAGGGAAACCTCTGTATCGAAGGTCTTATGCACGTCATATAATGTTTCACATATGATAACATTCAGGAAATAAAACCATGCATGTCATTTCTACCTTGGGCCTTTACTCCAGTCTTCTCAATAGTATCCAAATACAGGGGGAGGGGAGAGAATCTAAAATTGTTAGTAGGGCCTACAAAGCACATCACTGGTTGGTTGCTGAAAACTTTTAAGTGATTATCTTTTAATTCCATGTATGTACCAACTTATGGAATGCATACAATTCCATGTATGCATCCTAACTTCAGGGTCCAAATATAAGTTGTTCCTCTTATTCAGACAATTATTTGCCAAGTCTTCTCTGCATGCCTTTTCAATTTGAACTACCAGGTCCCTGCCTTGGGACAACTTGTCCTGCCCACTCAATTGTGTCGCAGCATAAGGCACACGTGTCAGAGGCTCTCAGCAAAGCTGGGAAGTTAATTCTGGAAAGGATCATGAACAATTATCTTTTTGATAGCATACAAGCTTTATGTGGGAAGTGACTGTGTTCTGTTTATCATTCAAAGACTGTGTCAGGTACACACAGTATTTCTAGGAATGCCAGGAATAAATGAACAAAAATGATAAAAAGGCAAGCAAGAGGCACAATCATGAGGTAAGAGAGTATCTCATTTCTTGGAGAAGATGGGGGCTCTCTACAAAGTCAAATGTCACAAGAAACAAAATCAAATCATTACCTGCAAGGAATTCACAGCATCTGCTCCTCATTCTGATTGTTCCTTCTCTCAGAATACCAGGAGTTTAGTGAATCATCTGTAGTTATGCATAAGACCTTCAATTTCATTTTTATAATATGACAACTTTTTGAAATCACTAAAATTCTTATATGTATATAGAAATGTATCCACATGTATGCATAATACACATACACATAGGATACAGTGTTGGGAAAGAAAATATTAACAAATATCCTAGGTTGTTAAAAATGTATGTGCATAGCAATCTTAAGTCACTCAAGCGAGGTTCTCCTACAATAGCCATGAACAAAGATTGTCACTGTGTAACATGGAAAATGCAGGAGCTCCGTTATTTCATTGCAATTTTACAACATAAATTTTCCCTGTGCTGTAACAAAAACACAATGCAACCTATCCAAAGGTCACTGAAATATTTTTATAAGCCTGAATTTTCAAGAAGTCCTTCAAATGGGAAAATTTTTAAAGAAAATTCTGAAATAAATATTGGCCCAAGTCAGAAAAAAAGCCACAACTGTTTCAGCTATTGCATTTAAGCAAATCACATATAAAACGGAAGAAAACTGCTTCATTTAATATTAAACCATTTTATTTTTAAAATAATTTTGCTGATTCCTGGCACTTCCTACATAATATTGAAAATTAAAAAAAAAAAAACAATGAGAATAGTACCCCCATCCCAGTCACACTCTGTAACACAGGCTTGCCACAAACTCAACAATTTTCCTACCTTGGGCTCTGACAACCTAAGGTTATAGGCATAAAGCACCACTTGCAGCTAACAGTTTTCCTGTTTAAAAAAGGTTTTAATTAAAAAAAAAAAACCTAACTATCCTATATATTATCTTGTGAAAAAATTTTGTAAGTACCATTGCATATTCAGAAGAAAGCAAAATTGGCAGTAATATTGGAAACAATACACCTGAGCATATTTGCGTCAGCCATAAATCAGGGTGAGAGAAAATGCAGCACTCCAATTCTTGCTCATCATCGCATGTGTAAATCTATAGCAGGACATTTACCTGTGAAAGTACCTCTTATAATCCATATAAAGCATGCAGATGAGAAACTTCTTATCTCATGTCTAATGTGTACAGCATGTATGGGAGCTATCTGCTCATAATCCAGATTTGCTCTTTTTTGTCATGTTTTAAATCTGTTTACTTTAGGAAATTGAAAAATTATCAGAAAATGTTCTCATTCTGCTAGGGGTTATCTTTCACAGCAAGGCAACCCATAGGCTGAAGGTTTGGAAAAATAAATAGCTTGAGGAATAATTTCCTGCAGTAGGATAGAGATCAGTGATAAATGACAAATCTAAGAGTAAAGGACTTTCTTAACCTTTACACTTAATTACGTAGGACACATGTGACTTTAGAAACAAAATTTAGAAATGAAGCATAAGGAAGCTAGTTAATTAGTAAAAGCCTGCATATTCCTAGAAACACAAGAAGGGAAAGGGTAACAAAGAATATCTTTAAAATATAAGTACAGCAGCCTAGAGATACATATGAATAGTACTGAGGAAATACACAGGAAAAAATAAAGTTTAAACACTTTGAGATTGTGAAGATATAACATGACCTTTGTTTCCCTGCTCTGATTTCAAAATCAAATTCACCCGAGATGGTATTTTACCTGGGATTTGAAAGCTTGTAACTCTGCTTGAAGCTCATTAATCTTTGCCTCTTTTTTCTGCAATTGAGCCTGGGTTTCTTGGTGGTCAGTAAACTCTTTTTCAAACTGAAAAGGGATAAAAGAGAGAGAGAAGGAAATGAAAAGCATTATTCTTCACATAAAAATATGGCTCTAATGATCTGTCAATAAAACACTTCTGAATCAGTTACATAAAAGGAGCAGCAGATCCCTGACAAGTCCCCCACAAGCCTTTCTCTAAGTCCCTCCAGGTCCCTCCAAAATCATTTATTCAGAAGGGAAGAGACAAAACCTGAAATGGAAGACCATGACCTTCTATTCCCAACAGAGCAAAACAGGCCCATAGTTATCTATGACCTTGGCATTTTTCTTAAAAGTCCCTAAATATCATAGCAATTTTGAATAAACCAACAGAAAGCAAAGCATTGTATTTCCTTCATTGCCATATTCTACCTGCAGAACATGATGCTTGAAACATATCTGAAATTCATCATATGATTTTAAAGTGCTGTTTTAGTAGTTTTAGTGGTTCACAACTTGATTCCATAAACAGTCAACTGTTTGGATTGCTTTACAATATCTCCAACTATCTTACAGAAATTAATGATAAATTAATTTTTCAAAGTCCCTGGTGCAACACCTTCTGGGAGGAAGGCAAATAATAAAATCCAGTGCTCCAATGACTTTTCTAATTTATATATCCACTCATCAGAAGTTTCTATCTTGCATTCAAATAGTTTCACTTTACCATCATCTTGATTCAAAACCTATCCCAAGGGAACTGAATTTAAATAGAGTATTGTCTCATAATCAAGAACAAGTATGTGGCACATTACAAAAAAAAAAAAATCACAAAAGACACAACTGCTCTGTGCCTCCAGACGGAGTACAGTCTAAGCATAATTCTATGTCATTAACCTGTGTATGTTTATGTGTGTTTCTCCAGAACATGGAAAGGCAGGTAAAGGTCTATCAAGTGACAGATTTGAGGGGTTTTTTTTCTTAAAAGGTATATTTCCTGTTCTCGCAACCTGAGTTACTCAGTTGAAATCACACCACATTCCTATAATGATTTTCGAACACGTAACAATTTTTAATAAATTGCTAAGGTGCTTTATGCTCCCAGCAACAAGCAGGAATGAAAGACAGTCTTATGCCCTCACATCTGCATGGCCTAGTGAAGTAGCTTATTGACAAATTAAATCATCTTTCAGCTTCTAGGCTCACCTACCTCCTTTTAAGTTTGGTTATGGAATATAGTAATTATACAAAACACGGGATTCATTGACACATTTTCATAATGCATATAATGTACTTTAATTATTCCACATAATGTTACCAACCTGGCTGCCCTGGTCTGTAAAGCTTATTAAATCAACTTAGACATTCTAAAAAGGCAAATGCCAATTTCCTCACAAAAGAATCAGATGAACTATAAACTTTGCTTTAGCATTTTTGTAATCGCTCCAATCAAATCACAGTAGACTGGGGGATAAACCAGTGTCTATTAATGTAATCCAAAGAAAACTGATATGACAGTGTTCCCCCATCCCCAAAAAAATTTCCTAGAGAAATATTACACTTACAAAATTGCACTAAAAAATGTCAAGAAACACAGTTAATGTTGAGTTTCTGTTTAAATTTCATTCCCTGGGGTAAATATATTAGTGCCTCTATACAAGAAGGTTGACAATTCAATGTACTCTATGTACTATCTGACATTTCCGCTCTTCATTTTTCAAATTGATGCACCTAAGTCAAAAATGTACCTAGAAACTATGATAGCTTCCTGCCTAAAGCAAAGTATTTGCATGTGTCCTTACAAAGCTATCAGAGCAAAGTTCCTGCTGCTATATACAAGATGATATGGTACTAGAAATTTTTATGGGGCAAATGTATTTTCTGAATATATGTATTGTATACAACTTCTGGCTTTAAAATGCATGTAACCTTAAACAAGGTCTTTTACCTTCATTCATATATCCTACACATGAACAAAACTAAGTATAATATTATATACTATTCCTGATCTATTGGCATCTAATACATGAAAACAGTATTACATGCATGAAAACTGAAGGTACAACTAACCTTAGAATACTAAGATGATTGAGAAAAGGATCACATTATATCTAACAGCTATTAACCACTTTAAAGCCATTTGGACAGTTGAAATAATCTAACCATTTCTTTCCTGCACCAAACTGAGTCTTCCAAGCAATGGACAACATATTCACAGCTGTAACCTTAGTGTGATGTAGAGAATGGATTAAGGAGATAAAAGTCCCTGGAAGAAAATAGCTAATGCATCATATATCCATGTTTAAGCACATGATGATATGGTATCTATGATGATAACATAAAGGAAGAAAAGGATGCGGAGAGTCTTTCCAACAGCAAAAGAGTCTAGACAGAACTCCATGGAGGAAGGCCTTGTCACACAGGCCTCAAGGAGATGACACAGAGGGAGTCCCCAGCAGTTCGCAGTCCCACAAAGTAAACTGGTTACTTACTTTCTGGCAAAGCTCTGATGCTTTCTCTTCATACTCTTCTAGTTTACCCTGATCTATGCAAACATCTAAAATTATAGTAACAAAAAATTATAATGAAGTTTTATGCAAACTCTTGATGGCTTTATATTTGTAAATAAAAAATTACATGAGGCTTAATAATGAGATAAGTTAAATGGAGGAAAATATTACAATTAAAGTATGACACCAAAAACTAGTGATGCAGAATAATTCATATTGAACCCTCCATGGTGGAAGAAGAGATGGTTCAATCATAACAGGCAGCATGGAAAGGTTTGTATTATCAATCTGTATTTAGAAAGAAGAGATGGTACCCAACATGAGCCAGGAAACGGAGTGGGAGTGAGGAACAAAAGTTAGGGGAAAAGAAACAAGTGCTAAATGTTTCTTTTCCCTACTAGTGTGATCATATACAAATTCAATGAACAATCATAGCAAAGGTTATATAATCTATTATATGGAGCATTAGAGTTTATAGGAGCAAACCAATCATCCTAAAGAATAACTGACATATATGATGAGAGCTTTACTGAAAATACACTTTAAGTGATAACTGTGTATTTCCTTTCATCTAACAGTTTTTTCAAGGACTTTGCATTTAGACAAGACTACTCATTTAAATGTCACTATGTTCATAGCCAGTGGAAATAATAAAACCAGCCAGCAATAATGGATTAAATTATTATATTCATCTGCTTCTGGAACGCTAGGTATGACAAATTATTCAAATTTATTTACCAAAATGTACTTAATTTATTTTGTAATAAAACCAATATGTAAAAATGTTTAAGGAAAAATCAAATAAGATAAATAGTAAAAGAAAATATCACTTCCATTTCCTAAATGTAACTTATAATCTTGCTTTGTTGCAGTATCTGCTAGTTACTTTATTTAAATTTAAATATTACATCTTGATTTGTCAATTTATGGTATTATAGGCAATTTTCCATTATAAAGGATTAAAATAATTCTAACCCAACTAGTTCTAATTTTTTGTCATTTTAGTTACAAAATTGACTAACTATAAAACTCTAAATATGCACTTCTCCATTTTCTGATACCCACAAAGTATCTTTTATTCTCACTATAAAATGCCAGCATTTACTAGTTAACCTGCTGCACCTCAGAAACTTTAACTTTTAATCTACAAAGAAATCGAATGTTTTGTTCCTAAATGCCACAAAGTCTTGAGTTCCTTACTTCCAGAACACATTCCAACCACCTTGCAGCGATCACAATTAGAATGAGATGGTGTGTATTAATAGCCTTCTCAGATCACTGATTAGTTTTCACTGAGTAAATGCTGCTACTTAGAATTAGACAAACTGTGGAAAAACATAAGTGAAGTTTTAGAATTCTTTAAGCTCTTTTTCTGAGATTGTACTGCTAGTGGATCTTTGTTGTCTATGTTGTCTATGAAAGTATTTATCAGCTAGCACTGGTCATTAGAAAAACTTTAGCTAGATGAGCCCTGAACATCTAATCTGTGGCACCAATCTCAAGACAGTTCTACCGAATAACAGAAATACTCACCTACAAACTGACTCAAGTCCAAATCTAGTCTTTTTCTGTATGTAAAGTCTGGATCCATCCCATCTCGATGCAATACAATCTGTGACACACACTCGTCAATTAGTTTGAAGTACTGTTGTCTAAAACCAAAGAGAAAATATGCACTCAATTCAAGATTATAATTTTACATCAAACAATATATTTGATGTAAACCAGTTTAAAAGTTTACTCAGCATAATTGCAACAGATGATATACCATATCATGGGAAACTTACGTCATG